CATTACGTATCATATAAATAACTAGCGACCCGGCTTCGCACGGATGCAATATGCATGAATTATACATATATACCTTCCTTAAGAATCACTATCTATTAAAAACCGTATCAAAATCCGTTGCGTAGTTTTAAAGATCTAAGCATACAGATGTCCCTATGACAGACAGACGGCGGATAGCGACTTTTTTATACTATGTAGTGATTAAAATCTACTTTCCAACTCTCCATACTAAATCTAGAAGTTTTTCCTAAAGTCGTAAGCCGTGGTTTACCCGCAACATACTTACATAAATTCAATTAGTCGTTCCGAGTCGGTTCGCAGAACCCAGCACAGCCAGCTTTGCTAATGAAGCCACTTTTCGTAGCCAATGTCTTCATTCGATGCCACAGGGATGTATTCAGCGGTGTAAGAATGTTTTTATTGTTCACCTTTTAAAATAAATTAAATTTGTAATTGATTTTTTTTAACTGATTTTATTTGTTAGTTTCTTTAGATTTAATGAAATTTTGTTTAACATTTTTTTGTTTTTTTTTTATCACAATGGTGGATAATACTAAACACAGCCTATGTAGCAAGTACTTAGAATCTCAACGTAAAATCTAACTAGCCTTTTCTACAAAAAGAAAATACCCTTCTTATTTTATAACACAATATATGACGACCTTCAAAGCATCTTGTTACCTCATTGGTAACTCGAAATCCGCCCCTGTGATCTGTCCACGAGGCACAACCGCCTATTTCGTTCAAAATTATAACTTTATTATTGCCGGTGATTTTGGAAATTAATTTCTCGGGATCGAAGGCAAATTACAGTGAGGAGAGGCTCCCCACCGGCTATGAAGTACTGAACACATCTCGACATGATCCCGCATATTTAAACGAAATAAGCTATAAAATAGGTACATCTTTTGATGATGTTGACATGAAAATTATTATAAAATGTTAGCTATTAATAGACAAGTTATTTTGAGCCAACGTGAGATCTTATTAAGCTTTTGTTCAGTGTAAAAAACATGATTTCTTAAGTAAGTAAACATATCTCAGTGTCAAAGACATTAAGCTTTACAACCCAGTATTACTACCAATATTCACATATTTGTTTTACAACGGAACGAGTGAGACTTGCCCACAATATCTGTATCATTACATTACAAAAAAATCTCAGCAGCCTCCATTTTATTATCACAATGCAATAACTTCATCCATATTTGGATACACAGCGCGGGAAGCACCACGAACCGCCATTTTGATAGCAATTAACCAATTACAAGCCCGCAATTTCGTATTACACTTTCACGAAAAACGAAAAAACGGCTGCAACTATTTTAATCTGTTCCTTGAAAATAATTCGTTTGCTAGTGTGAAGTGTAGTAAGGAAATTATCGGCTTGTGTGAGCTGATTATGTTGTTGGAACGGGACATTATTACTGGGGGAAATTTACCAAGTTTTACACCCGAGTCCGTCCGAGTCGCGATTGATTCGCGGAATAATGAAATTGTAATGTATTCTCGTACAATATTATGATTGCACAGCGCGATCTTTATTACGCGCCTGTGTCTGCATTCAACGACTTCTTGCTCGTAATTTTATGTTTAATTCATTTTACTTTATGACTTTAATTAATTCTTAATGATAACTCTGTCTATAGTTCTAGTTATAAAGCTCCTTTATTGTTGAAGTTTATAATCTGTGCTCCGAAATTGGTATCGAAATCAACGATGTATTTAATTTAACTCGTCGAGTACCGGTTTTATAGACACAATTAAAGAACAATAGGTCGCGGTCACCGGTGACCGCTTGGTATTTGACAGTTTAATAGTCTAAATTCTAAATAAATAAGCATTACTAACTTGTTTACACAACTTACAGACGTAGAGCTGTAAAGCAGGTTTCGAAAAACCAACGAAATGTTCATACTATCGTACAAACCAATTAGGAAAGTAAGTACGTATATAGATTAGAAATTATAGAATTTTTAAATATTATAAAACAATTTTCTTTCGGTCACATTCAATTCCTACCTACTATTACCGTTTTGATGACAAAAGCAAAAGGTCTACTAATAGGAAAACCTGAATCAGCATTATCTAATAAAATACAGTAATAAAGTCCCCAAGTATTACAATCAGCGCAAAAGCTCGATAGAGGCAATCAACCGAAACATAGATAAAGATAGAAATCTCTCGAATATAAGTCATAAATTATCTGTATTACAACGAGCTCTGCTACCATAGAGTATCAATTCCCCTTTATTGTTTCCCGTAATAGAAATATAAAAGGCATCACAAATAAAATCGCATTTATTGAATAGAAACATTTAATTCCGGTCTGCGATGTCGTGCTGCGATAGCCTCTCTATGAATAAAATAAAAATATTGTCTTTGAGATACCTACTCTAGCTTGTTTATGGGATCGTTATTTTGCTTTTCATTTTCGTAGTCTTTAATATGATTTCGTAATCTTTAAAGGTTATTTTGCGAATTTGTATTGTGTTTCACAATAGCCTGAAAAAGGACCAGCCTTTGCTTAGTCATACAAATAACAAGGTAAAGTATTCCACTTAAATTCAAACATAAAACGGCTGACAATGAAAATTCAAATAAATCATTCGTTTGTCGTCGTAACAAAACAACAGAATGTAGTAGAATTATTAACTGTACGAATTTATAAACCGCGCTATACAGCCCTCAAATAGATACTTAGTAAGTCCCCCCCGAGCCCCTCCCTAGTGACATTAAAACATTGAGCAGACTAAATTAAAGCGCGCCAAAACTGTTGTCTGCGGGCCCAAGGCGGTCGTTTGTTTTAATACAATAACCGACACCGTCTCTCTTACTCCTCTCATTAGGGATATACGTCTGTCTCGCTCCAACACGCGTAATTTAGCCTTTTCTCTTAAGGCGACAACATAACGTATCGGCAGTCTGACAAGTAAAAACAACTCAATTAGTCTAACGGCAAGTGAATACTGGATTAATTGAAAACATTCTGTTCATGTCATAGTGGCTGCGAAAAAATATTATTGCATGCAATTATAACACTTCCTAAATACATTCTGGATGATTGATTGCCTCGCTTTTTATGATTGGATTCGTAATCACGTTTTTTTGTTTTAATTTAATCATATTCATTACGTAATTAAGGTAAAAACCTCTTTTACCATATTATCAAAGTAACAAAACAACGATACATTCAGCGCAGAACAGAAGCGCGTTCCTCTTAATCACTTCTAATTTATTTAGCCCCTCGGAGGACCCAGCGAGTAATTTATAGCTGTCCCTTTCCAACCCGAGGCGGCGGGCGTGTAGCCGTCCTGTTCTCTCGGGACCATTTTTAATTAAAATCACCGGGAGAAAATTAGAAATTATATTCTATTTTCAAAAACTTGCTCTGACGCTTTGTAGGAGATTATCTCTTTTTTATGAGCCCCCGGTCGCGGCTTTTGTTTAACTGCACACGAATTGGCTGAATGGACTTTGTTCCAACCACGGAGCTTTTACGATTATGTCTTGTTCATTTCAATCCTGCTTCTCTGATGATTGGAAATGTTTTAAGTTTGCTCGTTATGCTTTAACGATGATGGGACTTGGCCCTTTCCACTGTCATATGAGTTTTAGATGATAGCACTTGTATGTAATTGCGAGGCGTTAACCGCTGTGACAGCTTTCAAATTCAATTTGATTCTTACCTTCTTTGGATTTTTAGGACTGTAGTTATGGGGCAGGTGGGTAACACTAACAGATTAGGGATAATTTGTTGTATCTTCACCTGAAGCGAAGTCGTAGAGATGTATTCCTATTTCATGCTATTTATTAAAGAGCTTCCTTTATTGTCTTGACTAATTCACACTGGAAGTGTCATAAAGTGTGAGTTGCTATTGTGCTTGGTTTATGGAGTATCTGAGAAGGCGGTGCTTTTATCTCCCTTAATCACTTTATTTTCTGCGAAGTGCGCGTCGTAAGGCAGTGGCGCGGCTTAGCCTACAGCAGTAGGAGGCTAGAATTTGCTCTTACGTATTACGAGGAGTAGATCGTTTTTATATGTAGGGTTTTGAGCCAAGATGTCTAGATCTACTGAATTAGAAACATTTTCTTTCTCTGTACGACTATCATACAGTACTTTACTTTTAAAAAAGTTTAACAACTTAAGAAAGGAATGTTCAAAAATAGATTAAAATGCCAGTTCAGTAGAAAGAATTGAACTTCTATAATCCCACAGTTTTCTAAAGGACTACGTGTTCATGTGATACAAACCTTCCGATAAATAATAATAATTAATGAATAATGGAGATTAAATTTGTAATGACAATAAAATGGGACATTATTTTTTATAAAAAAATTGCCCCGCATTAGGTCGTTTGTGTGTTTGTTTGTTTTCGCCTAGGTCGTGGGTGCGTTTACAAACATGCAAGTTTAATTACACAATGACCCCCAGGCCCGTAACAACAATTTGTGGATCACACAAAGTGTTGTTCCGTGCGGGAATCAAACCCGCGACACGTTGCACGGCAGCCGGTTGCCCAGCCACCGCACCAACCGTGCAGTGTACATGAATTATTGCTCCAATACTTTCCTTTCAATCTTCATGAAGCGAATGCTTTACCGCATTGTAATTGTAGAGTACCTATTAGAATAGATTTATCATTACACATATATTCTTTTCTTGGATTCTACAAGATTTCATTTAGCAGAGACCGTACAGCAGCTCATGAACTTGAACCGTCTACCTCACGATCTCCAACACACTTACAATACACAAGCCTTCTTATGAAGAACAGGCTCATAGTCCAACAGTTATTAGATTATCACGAATTGTTTCCCTGTCCTCCTAGGTGGATAAGTGTCCAGACTCACTTATCCAAATAAACCAATGAACATATAATTATTATAATTTACTAACATTAGGCTAAGTTGTACTACTACTAACATAAATATGGATGTTTTATCTGAAATAAAAATTTTGAATTTGAATTTGAATTAAACGCTTTTCGTCTTTCCAGGTGGCGTATGTGACGATGATGGTGACAGTGGAAAGAGAAGACGATCTCGGACGAACTTCAACTCCTGGCAGTTGGAGGAGCTAGAGCGAGCGTTCCTGGCGTCTCACTACCCTGACGTGTTCATGAGGGAAGCCCTCGCTATGAGATTGGACCTCAAGGAGAGCAGAGTAGCTGTGAGTATCACGCTATAGTTTTTTTTTTTATTATTTATCTTTATTGGTCCACCAACAATTGTGTACATTAGTACATTAACTCGTCGAGTACCGGTTTTATAGACACAATTAAAGAACAATAGGTCGCGGTCACCGGTGACCGCTTGGTGTTTGACAGTTTAAACAACAAAATATGATACCAGTAAAATCTTACAATCGATTACAGGCGAGCACCGCATTCATTAAGAAAAAAAATATCAATAATTTTATTCATTAGCCTTTTGTAATTTATTTTAAGTCATATTTTGACACTTTTAATGTTGATTTTGGGAAAACTCGATAAGCAACTGACTTTTAGTTTGTGTATATACCTGAAAATTGTGAAAAACATACAGACAAATTGAAAACCTCCTCCGTTGGGGAAGTCGGTTAAAAATACCCAATCTTTGAAGTTCATAACTAACTGAGTATTTCTGAGACATTATGTAGAGTTTGTTATAAAACAAACCAATGTCTCAGAAATGTTCAGTTGATTAATACTCAGTATTACTATATAATAACGCTAGGTTAACTTTCTAAACACACGATAATCCTAACCACTTCAAACGTGAACAACCAACGAATCACCCCTAGTACTCCATATGTCTCATTCACAACTTTTTTTAAAACTTCACCACTTCACACTCAAGACAAAACCTTACAAAAGGGGGGAACTTTTAGCACCATTACCCATTAAACTTTAAATAAACTAGACAGGAAGTGTATACCAAAAGTATACAAAATTGAGCGGTACTTTCAGCTATAAACATTAGTCATGGGGCTTAAACATCCCATATTGCTTTGTAGTGTCGGCCTGTCGTATTATATTTAGCATGCGACTAATGGCAACGGTTACACACCTAATGTCTTAATCCATCGACAGTTTACGACCCGCCATTTTGTTACCATAGCGAAACATCATAATTTTATTACGCGCCAAATCTGCTTCAGTATGCTTGCAGTCGATTGCTCCGTCAGATCTAAGTGTTCGCCGGAAATTGACGGATGCAACCATTTTCTTACCGCTAATAACTGTGAATGTCTTTGTGGCTTATTTGAAGAAAATCAACCGCATATCTACTTACATGCGTCTGTATTTTGGTTCAATTACGTATTTATTTCGCTTCTAGGTACGGATAAAGTAAACACAAATATAATCACGTCATCAAAATAAACCAAAACATCACCAAGAAGCTGATCTTATTTGAGGAAAATACAAGAACAAACACGACGCATACTTGTACATAAGGGTAAAAATGCTGAAGGTTTCCGTTCAATATAAATGAGGGACGATTTCCCTTATTTTCCCCAAACCTTCCGAGGCTAAGCGGCCGCCGGGGACCACGCGGCTCGCCGCTTTTTATATAAGCTTTAGGATCCGAAATAATGTTCGACTTGAGATAATACAGTTTTGAATGGACGCCGTTTTGTGGCCAACCCTTGGCCATATACGAATTGATGGCATTTTGTTTGGGCTTTTACCTCCGAACGGGAAAGTAATGCTCCTACCCTTCCTTATTACATTTCGGCAATACGTCTTCTGTTTTGTTTTTGTCTTCTAGGCTTGAATAGCTCCCAAACAGAGGTTTTAATTGGTGTCCTAATAAAAATGACTGTGACATTATTATTCAAATTGATTCTATAAACTTATGTATTTTGAAGTTTTTCAAAATAAATAATAATGTACTAATTTAATATATTATTGTATACAAAGCACAACAACAAAATATTTTTCCGTAAAGCTTGTATAAGTAAATCCATTTCTATAATCAGTACTAACGTCGATTGTATCCGACACTTATCGCGGCGGATCTCGCTCTGAGAGACAGACTATCCCGCACCACTCCTAATAGTTGGTATAAATCAAAAGATTGCAATCTTGGCGGCACCCCTGGGACGCGAGTGAGACGGCACGATTGAATAGCATAGATTTAAATGGGCGGGTCAGATAAGGATGGCTGCAGATCGCGCCGCTCCGACCTCGTCCGCGTCGCCGCTCCTAGGGACGTCACAATTCGATTACAGCTCAATAAAGTTAAAGTGACTTGTTTGCGTCTGTAAAGTGGATTTTTTCCTCTTCTTTGATTTCTCTATTTTCTTTCATTCGTTCGACGTCTTGGGCTGCGTTTCTGATCGCAGTATCGTATTATTGACTTGGATTTATAGGCTTCAATGGAACCTATTACATTGAATCTAAAATAATTGAGTGTCATAAATGTGATTTCATTGAAGAATAATTGAATAAAAATGAATATATGTATATATGATTTTCTCAAACATGAACGTGTATGATTATTATATATTTTATTCAGTAGCGTTTTATACGAATGTGCGGGATACATTGGAACATTATGCGAGCATTAAATAAAGCTTTGTCGGTTTCGGAGAGACGGCAAATGTAATCATGGCCTTACATAACATAAGAGTTTCGCGAAAGACGTTAAAAGCCCATTCTTTACTGTAAGTGGCATATTCTAATCTAATTTCATCCCTGCCTGACGTAAACTTGTGAAAACGGCTCACTCGCTCCGCCGTAAGCGCGGAAGTATCGACTTCATTTTAAAATTCATAGCATAAAATTTACATTTATATGCCAATTTCATTCCCTAACAGGGCGTCGGCGGTCGCACGCACACATCAGTATTCCACACACATCCGGCGCTGCCTCGGTACACCCCAAAAGTAAAAAAATAGAAAATCTCCTTACATTCTCTGCTCGGTTGGGAAGAAAAAAGAATGGCGCGAGGTTTAAATATGGAACACTAAATGGAACGCTTAGGCGACAAAATGCGGATAGAATATAAAATTTAAGGATCGTCGTGTGTCCCTGTTGCTCTCCTGTAGCGCATGTCGCTCCATCCCTTTCAGCGGCCGTCGCTATCAAACACGAGCCGACTTCACCGCCGTAGGCTTAGCGGTAAAAGATAGACATGAGACCTCTACAGGGTTGCTCCTGAGGCGGTGAATTATCGTGCATGAATAATTTTCTCACTAGCAAACAAGATTTGCTTCGTATTAAATTGCTGTAATGTAATTACTGTGCCTAATGAAATGCGGCGCTACACATGCGGACAACCGTATAATTTGAACATTAAACATGTTTAAAACGGAGTTGTCATCTACGTTCGTTCATTAATTTGAGGCCCTTCGATTCAAATTATACGTACTTGACACTGCATTAAGTATCATTTGTAATCCTCGATTGAAAATATGTAGCGTGAATTTAATTATCCATGATAAATGATAATCTGGTGTTAAATATTAATCAACACGACTCGTTTGAATTTCCGAACCACTTTGTAATGAAATAAATATTCAATTTATTTTAGTTGAAGAAATTTTTAACGACAGCCCTATTAGGAATCGCTTAGCTGGCAATCGGGACGATCTTGCGAAATTTGTATCTGTCTCTGTCACTCGTACGTCTGGATGTAGATTTGTGTGCAAAATGAAAGAGACAGAGTATACTGAAATACAGCGCTGTTCGTGATCACGGGATTGTTTACCGGGTTGTTTACAAATCTGTTTGTATCAGCAATACTTTGTTTGGGAAGAAACTTGTCATTTCTTTGTATGCAACATTCTCGACATTACCCGATTAGGAATTATTTAACAGGACTTTTTTGGAGAGAAGATATTAGACAGGTACACTCCTTGTGTAATGACACTTAAGAATGGCTACATGTAATCATTTTCTCTATAACTGAACCTAAATTCATCAAGATTACATCAGCAGTTTAGGAGGTGAACACGTATAAAAATATTCTTCGACATTCCCATATTAGACATCTGAACTTGTAAATTCAATGGACAGAAAGGAATTAATAAATAATAAGTGAAGTTTCGATACATATACAATAAATCTAAATGGGTATTCAATCATCACTTAGATAAAGAAGACTAAAGATCGTCTAATAAAAACGTAGACGAAACCAGATAAACTGCTAGTTTTACAAACTAACATACATAAATTATATATTTATGATACCTACTTGTGTACCTAAACAGAAACAAAGCGTGATTTAATAAAGAAAACGTGCCGTTTAACGAAGAAGATTAAAATTAAATGTTCTTTATTAAAATTTTATAGTATACAGGACAATTGTCTAGAAACTATTGATAGGCTGTAAAACTATTATTAATTACATCATATATTTTATTATTGTCGTTAATAATGTTTCACATAAAACATTCAATGATTAGAGAATTGATCAAAGGCTCTAACTGCCTTTACTATACTCCTACCAACTATGGTTCGTCGTTGTTTTATGTTCGGTCGGTTTGTCTCCTATTATGGTACCTAATTAGTCTTATTGTCAATGCTAGTTTAACACCAATAAATTCCAGTGAATGTTATTGTGGAAAAACCTGAAATAAATAATAATACCACTCTGCTAAAGCTAGTACTAGCTAGCTAGATAGTTTTAATCACTAAAAGGCTCATTGATTCATCATATTTTGTCGTTCCAAAGAGCGATCAGACCACCACAGATGGGGCTCAGTAACCTTATGTCGATACGTCGCCGCGGAGGACTTAACGGGGCTCCGACGCGAAGGGCAGGATTAGGAACGGGGTGGTTTTAGTCAGTAAGAGTCTGACACTCCTTCTCACCTCACCCGGACGGGAAAGTCATTGAATAATAATTCCCTCTTAAAAAAGTGACTTTGATTTCTAGTTAGTTAACCAAAAGCAGCAAAAAATTACACTTATTTTATATAAATCAGACCAATAATAAGAGTATGCAACTGAAAACGAACCAATACACGTTAGCCAAGCAATAATGTAAATATTTTAAAAAGAAATCCTTCAGTAATAAAGTCGTTTTTAAAGTGTATAAGGTAAAAGTAGGTGTCGATTTCCGTAAAGTAAATAAGTCTCGCCACCCCGGTAAAGTGGGGGATGACGGTGACAAGTCAATGTATCGACACCACAAACGTCTTCCTTACACCCTCGGGTAGGGGAAGATGCTATTCTCTTTGAC